CTAATATAAATATTAGAAGTTGTGTGAAAAAATTACCTGATGAAACGAAATAGTATTCTCTTTGAAATACTCACTTTTTTTCTACTGAAGATTTCACTTTGTGCTGAAAATGTTTATATATGAAACTATTTAGTAATGTAAAGGTAATACTGTTCATCACTAATAACACTACATACAACTTGTTTCATCATGTTCCCGTCATTGACTTGCAATAACTTGACATTATTCGGAAGTTCTACTAAACAAAACTGATCGAAACAATATATGCCATCACTTTTAGTATGGCAAATTGCAAAGTGGATGAGAAAATTTCTAAGTGTAATCATATTCAACCTAGTTATTAACTTCTATTATTTTTTATACCCTTGAAGAGAACACATATCAGTTCATATAACCACTGAGATTAGAAAAATACTTCAAACTGAACAGTTTTGAAAGGACAATTCGGAATTTTTCGTCTTTATTAATTAAATACATAAACATTATTGGTTTTGCTGAAGTAAAACAAAATTACTTGTCAAGCTGAACTGGATCAACAATGTGTTGTTTCATTTTTGGGTAAGTTAAGGAGGATTGGATTACATTGTGAATAGAACTTTACCTTTAAACATATATGAATGTAATACTATTATGTTAGACAACAAACTCAATTAATGTGGACGATGGTTATTAAAACCCTTAATTTTGACACGTTCATTCTTCTGAATTCAGTAACAAGATAATCTCAAAATGCATAATTATGAGTTACAAACAATTAAATAGTCATGGATAAATCCCCCAAGATACGAATAAAGTACTTTTAGCAGAGGTGGATCATGGTTGGCCGTGGAATCCAGGAAGCGCATTTAGTCTTATTTAGTATTCTCCACCTCTGCTAATCATTCTTTTAACCTAGAGGTAATATCGAGACAATCCACACAAGATGTAGATATACCAAAGAGACTGATCTATTGCAATACTTAACATCAAAGAGAAGACTCAAACAACCAATACAAAAGAATTAGGAATAAAGTGGTTTACAACGAATACAATACAATTCTGTCTTACAGAACAACATTTCTTCATAGCTAATTTGTCCTACTTTTCTCCTCTCTCTATAAGACTTCGTTTAACACTCCTTTTTCAATGAGAAGTTAGACAAATTTTATATTTGAACAAATTCCTATCATCATCACTTTATTTTCACAGACATATTACACATAAATTAACAGAAGCCAGTGAAATTTCTCAAAGAGACAAATAAATAACCATATGAAATCATTATGCGTATGTAAACAGAATAAAATTAATTAGACTTTATTTATTCATTTTTTTTTTCGCAATATCTATACCTAAAAATAAAACAAATTACACACTAGTGTTTATTGAATACACTAGTTACCATTATTCAATTCATGAATATACAATCTTGTAAATGACCCTTTCAAAGAGAAAAATAATAAAACTTAGGTTGACTTTTTAGCTCCATTATTATTAAGACAATTAATTCAACTCAATAGATATTGAATAATTAATTATAATAATCAAAATCTTTGTAATTTTTACTTGTAATGCATTTCTAGAATTCTCTACATAATCAATAAGTGTTTATAAAAACACTGAATAACTTTTGAATGCATGTAACATTACAATTATATTATTGTTCTATATATATATATATATATGAAGGTATCTAATAAAAACAGATTTATATGATATTATAAGTGTATTCATATGATCGAATTAATTTCACATTATTTTCATATGATTATGCAAATTGTTTGTTCAGTAGATTGAAGTGTTTTTTTTATTTTTTCATTTTAATATTTGAATGCAATTAGGTTAATTATTATTCGAAAAATGTTTATACAATTCTTGTAACAAGTGTATCTTAAATTATTCTAAATGAACTAATTTCTAAAAATGACGGATTTATTTTTGCGATGATGACAATATTTTATTTCATTTCATTGAACATGAAAGCGTTCGTTGATTATGTGAATGCGTTCCGTCAGAGTAGAATCTTTATAAATCGTATTTATGAAGAAATTACTCTTTATTATCAACTACCTATGACTTACTACAACAGACTTTGTTCCAAGACAATTTTCATGAAGAAATAATATTGGTTGAGAACCATCGAAAGGTCTGTAGGGATGAGAAGTTGTTTTATTCTCGTATGTGACACGTTATCATTTGGCATCTATGGTTACAAGCTTATTCAAACTCACAATCTGTAGTTCTCGAGAGTAATCTCAGTTTCTTTAGTCTGCTAAATCGGAATTTAATGGAACTTATTTTCGGTGATGACGGATTCGTGATATGTGGCACTGCTAGAGAATTTAAACCAAAAGTGAATTGATTATATAATGTTTCTTGAATTTTAATTACCTTTCAATTGATTACAGCCCTTCAAAAACCATTCAGTCGATTAGCAATTACATACTTACTTATATTTATTGTTTGGGACTGCCCAACAAGTAAAAATAAAGTTAATATCATGAATAGGAACTTTGAGTTAGAATGGAAAGAATGAATAATTGAGGAACTAAGCAGCATAGTTAAGCTTAAATTTACGAAGTGGGTGAATGTTAATGTACGCTTGCCACCATAAGAACACATAAAATCGTCTATACAACTTTAGGTGACCTTGGAAGAATATTCATTAATCTCTCTTAGGTTTAAAGAACATTCGATATAACGTAGGAAATCATTTGAGATAGTGGAGTCACTGTCAATACCACTTCAGTTTTTCATTCAAGAGAGTCAACCTAAACATTCGGCTCAATGTTATTACTGCATTATAAAGGTTGTATCGAATGTTTTTCAAACTATATTATGAATTCGTTGAGCACTTTGGTTAAAAGGTTGAACTTTATTAAAAATTATTAATGGATTACCTTTAAAGCTAATCACATATTGTTTTTTTACAGAAAAATGAATGATTATGTTTTGTGCGACAAAGTACAGACAAAGTTATGAACCTTCATTTTCTTAGCATCTTAGAAAAATATATCGAATTATTCCAGTATTTCATCATCAACTTTCCAAATGCAAGCATTATCGATCAATTCAAAATTTTTCGAAAATTAGATAAAAACTAATCAGTTGCTCACAAAAATCCACTTGGAATGTCTCAGTGAATAAAAAATTGCTTCATCTAAGTTCTTGATAGAAATTTCAAGCCACCAAGCTAATCTTTATCACTTGTTATCGTTAGTACATCAATGCAAAATTTACTACCTAATGATTTTGATCAAAAGAGCACAAATCTCAGTTAAACTGTCTTCTGTTTATTCATCCAATCAAAGACATTGGGATCATTCTTGTGGATTGTAACGGTCATACGTAAAACCTATCGTTTACGTTGAAAGATCTACATAAAAGTCCCAAGGATACAACCAATCAAACTGTTCATCAATTTGCGAAAATTCTATAAAAGATTACAGATCAGTTGATCATCAATCTGGATCACTTTGAACACTTAGGATCATCAAGTTATTTTATCACATGATTGTATAACCTTCAAAAGCTATCTATGAAAATTTTTTTCCCTGTTCTATGATAGATTTCAATAACTTTCTATACCAAACAATTGTCGCGTGATTAGTTGGAATTCTAAAACATGTCAGAAAGCAGATCAGGAGCCATAGCTTTACTCTTTCTTTAAATTACGGGTATTCAATAATTCCCGTCAATGTATCTACAAAGTAAATGGTATCCGTAAAGGTTGCCACTTTCTTCAAAAATATTCCGCTCATATAGACAATTTACTTATTATATGGCCAGATGGAAACCGAAAAATCAATAACGACATCCAAAAGCTATTACTTATGGAAGCCGATTCCACGTTTATAACCTCTACAAACAAACTGATAATGCTGAAATGGAATGCCTATTGAGTATCAGCTTAGCAGACTATTTCCTGGTCAACCTGAAGAATATTCTCTAAGATTAATAATGTAAATTTAGATCAAAGCATTAAATAACAAAAAAAGCTTATCCAGTTTTAACTATTTTCGTGAGAACCATCAGGATACATAAATACAAGGAAAACTATCCTTTATCTTAATATATATATATATATATATATATATATATATATATATATATATATGCATATATATATATATATGCATATATATATATATATGCAAATATGTCTAATTACATATTGATTGCTCCTAAGAACAACAAAATAAAACTATACACAATGAACATTTTCAATATTGTTGTTTTTATTTGAATGAAGTGTCTTTTGAAGCCTAAATTATTGTATCGATACATTATTAACAAACAATGATTCATTAAATAATTGAATATTCATTTTACAAATATGAAATAAATGAAAGATGAAATAGCAAAATTATTGCTTTATTCTTTTTTACATATTCCAACTATTGATATGACAGACATGTATAACTATTGTGCAATACATACATGATAATCAAACAAATTTACTGACAATACATGACAAAGCAGAATTATTATTATTATTATTATCATTAATATTCAATAGCAATTATTCCATTTCTTTCATATAGTTGACATTAGAATCAACAATAGTGACAGTATGTTCACTGAAAATGATGTAACGAAGTTTTACTTTTTTTTTTTAAAAAAAAAAAGAAATAACAATAATAATGAATATTATATTTTTAGTGTGTTTTGAATGATTTCAATTAGTTGTTGTGACAATTAATTGTTACCATCAGGACTGAAAAGAATGATTATGTAATAAATTTAAAAAGAAAACTTTTTAAATTCCACTAAACAGATCATAAAAATACAAGAAAGCAGCAATAGGATCAATAATGAAAAGGAACACTAATTATAACTCTGTACATGATGAATGAATTGTGTTTATTTTGTACAATATTAAAGAATTTCTTTTTATCAATTTGATTATTATGTAAGAGAAAATCTGTTAAAATAAAAATTTGTCAAATCATAATGGGCATTATTTAACTAATTAAATATTATCGTTATTTATGATTTTATGCAAATAGTCATTGAAATGTTCAGCTGGTTTTAGATGGGAATAATTCTTTAGAAAGTGATGATTTTTGATATTTATTCCGGTTGATGTTTCTGTTGTCATCATTATTCATAGATGCAGTTAAGTGAAAATTTGGAGTGGTAGGATATTTTAGATTATATTTCATATTGAGATTGTCTTCATTAAACATAGTATGATGTAAAGATGATAGTTCATTTACTTTTGGGATGATAAACTCTTTGGTTATAGTTGACTCATCATCATTATTATGGGAGTAAACTCTTTTGCAATTGCTTTTCGTTTGGTTTTTAGTTGAATTATGAGATACTCCATCTTGACTATCATGACAGAAAGTGTTTAAAGGATTGAAATTATATCCGTTAAGATGAGAAGAATTCTGTAAGTTAATCATTTGAGTTGGTGATAAATTAAGTAGATTTGATTGGTGATATTTCTGAAACCAATCCTGTTGTTGTTCAAATGACTTAGACATTAAGCTTAATAAATTTAGATCATTCAATTGTACTTGTTTGCAAGAATTATTATCTTTATTCGAATTGTTTGATGTTGTAGACATTTTCTGTGTATTTTTCGTGTAATCAATTCCCATAGATAGTTCATTATTATCATTATTACTAATTTCAAAATTATCTCTGATTGTATTAATAGGAAAAGTGTTATTTGTAGTATTTGGAATAGAGAAATCCAGTGTTCCATTTTGTTCATTATTCATTTCTAACTGACAATTTTGTTCTGAGGGTAAATTATTCGATTCTGGTCTAATCATATTTACATCATCGGATGAAAAACACTCATCACCACTCATACTGTCACTTCCTAAATCTGTATGATCATAATCACCACCAGTTACATGGGCAGCATTGTTAGTTAGATCAGATTTAGGATTTTCTGTGAATAGATTAGATCTATTTGACATCATTTCAGCTGCATTCTTTTTTCGCCATTTTGTTCGTCTATTTTGAAACCATACCTCAAAAAGTAAATAATAATAATAAAGAAATATATACGATGATTCTTTGGATAACTTAATGATAGACAATATATGAAGAAATTAATTTTGACACTTTACCAACGATCAATTATCGGCTAACTGTAACAAAAGAAATAAGTAAAACACACCGATAAAACATTTAGAAATAGATCAGTTTTCGGTTTTCAACTATAAACTTATGAGACTAGATAGAGATCAAGTAAATTCTTATGTTATTTATTGCTCAATCAAATTTTTACATAGAATGAAATCAAAGTGATTGAAATGATGAATGATTTTGTAGTTCTATTTCATGATAAGTAAAGTTGATGAAGTAGTACATATTTTATAATTTGAACAGGTTATAAAACGGTGTCTTTTTTTCATTGGTTCTCTTCTTCTGTACATTCAAGTACAGTTTTTGAATGAATTCTATATAACTGTTGTCAGTCGACTCTATTAGTATTTATTTTTTTGTAACTTTCAATTCTATAAACACATACGTTAAAGGCAATTTAGGAATTAGGTTTATAAGACTTTCATAAAGTTAGATTCATTACTCAGTGAACAATCATCTATTTATAAAAACTGGAGAATTCCAAGAAAAAAAATTGTTTGGATCTTCGTTTGACTGCGCAATAATAATGCAGTTAACTTCATGTTATCTATGTAAGACCGCTTGAATGACTCACTCATTTTATTGTGCAGCAATTCATTTTATGATTAAACTAATTCTACCTAATTCAAATGAAGAAAGTATATTGTATTCAATAGTATTTATGTTTGAAAAATGATCTCAGTTTAGTGAAAACCAATTATTAAAGGAATTCCGTTTATGATGCTTATGAAATAACTAAATACTGAAGTTCTGTTATTAATCAAGTAAGTTTATTTGTCCATTCAGTTGTTGATCGATAACACAATCGTAATTTCACTTTTTTTTAAATTCGAAATGGGTTAATGTAAATTGTAATATTTGATGTTGATTACTTAGGAATAGTCAGTAAAATTATTGAATATTAATACAGATTTTTAATTTTTATTCTTGTAGAAAAATTACATTGTGTAATAATCACTAGAATCAAAATAAATATTGTTAATCATTTCGTCAGTCCTCTATTTGAAATTATCTAGAATGTAGAACTCATAATCACATTTTTAACATTTCAAATAAACAATTCTTTATATTGGGGCACACTGCTGAGGAGTCCCATACTAGGACGAAACGGCCGTCCAGTGCTTCCAGGTTTCTAATGGTGGTCTAACAATGATGATTGATTAATGATTTCAAACAATTCTTTGATTTTTATTTATAAGTGTTTTCATTCTTTATATTATTGACTATAATTAATCCCTGCCTTTTGTTATATGTACATTCTGAGCCGATCGGTTTGATATGATCATTAAGTCATAAAATTCCTTAATGAAGTTGAACACTGGATACCACTGAAACCGGGAATGAGTGTTTCACCTTAATAAGGACTTCTCGGTTGAATGCACTTGTACCGCAATGTTCAAATTCAAAATAAGATCTCACTTCAAACACCCAACACTTTATTCACTGAGAAACCTTTTGTGATCTAATTTGATTGTTTGGTTTTTTTAGATCACAGTTTACATGATAAGCCCATTTCTAATCATACATTGTTTACCTGTACAAACAAGGTCAATGCTTTTTAGTTTTAAGTTTCTTTATTTTAAAGTATCATCTATGTCCAATATTAAATTTCAACACGCATAGCCTAAAAAAAACAAGGTGTGAACTAGTTTTAATTATATTTTATGATGACAATAATCATAACTATAATAATAATAATACTAATAACAGTATACTCATGTTAATACGCTTCTCCTTAGCAAAGAACACTAAAACCGATTGGAACATTTATCTCATTAATTTAATTAAACATAGGTCATCATAATCTGATGAACATACATATATTTTTAACAAAAGATGACAATAAAGATTTTTCTTTCTAAATTTATGTGAGAACATTTTGAATCTTCTGTGTTCTATGAAAGGTGTGCTCATCAACATTATCATGATTATTACTTGTACAAAAGAAAGAAACTCTAATTCTATATATATATATATATATATATATATATATATATATATTTATGGCTGTGTATATTTACGTGTGTGTGTATATATGTATATGAAGTCTGAAAAAGTTAATGAACAACATTACCGACCAAAAGAGAACATTGGCCTTTTCTCATCTTTCTACATTATTTGTGCTTTGTTTCTTCCCATTTTTATTGTCTTGTCAAAGTTCAAAGAAAATTTGAAATAAATTTTATCATTTAAACTAATAAATTAATTTGTATAATGAAAAGATGGAAATATACTATTACTATTATTATTATTTGTTGTGATAGAATAATTATTAATTTCACAATTTTTCTAACCATGAATAGTTAGTTATAAACAATTATAACTGACATGGTTATGATTGCCAGTTATTATTGTCATTATTATTATTATTATTATTATTATTATTATTAGCACAAAATAAATGAATAATTATAAAGTTTCTTATATATACATGAACAATCTTTTGATTAATGGTGTTATTTCATTTTTTTTCTCTGAAAAGTAACTTCTTCCCTCCATCTGTTTACCAGTTAAATTATCTTTATAAGTGAAATTTTTTTCCTGTCCTCATGTGAAGTTCACTTTGTCTATTTTGTAAAACTGTTATTTGTATTATTATTTGTCGAGGATGAGCTAGTTGTATGAATCAATGTATGTTACTCAACTAGTGACATTCACTTTTTAAATGAATTTATTTTTACTAAGAAAAATGAAAAAAAAGATTGTCAGTATAGTTTATGAAGATGGTTTAATTTTATCACAAATCATGAACTAATCTACGTTAAGCAACCGTTGAAAATCTGGAAGCAACGGAAGGCTGTTTTGTTCTAGAACAGAACTCTTCAACAAAACGTATTCGCGACCATGCGTTAGGGAATGGAACGTAGGACTTTCTCTCTCGTGTACCGACACATAAACTCTAAACTGCAAACGATTATTCTGCGGGGATAGAATTGCCCTTCTGATACCTCGAGGTTTCCAATGGTGAGTCAGTCAGTATGTTACTTATACTAAGAAAATTCTACGATCTCCAAAAAATACCTAGAAACGTATAGTCTTAAGTTTGCTTAATGCTACACTTATGCAGATGATGTTTAATAATGCGGTAATTTTAAACAGTAAAGTGTTGAACATTTTTTAACATATTTTAACATATTATAATATAAATTTGAACAGATTTGTTCAACACGATTTCATATTGTTAGAGATTAGAATATAGAATTTCACTAAAACGAGATACAAAATGTATGAAATATATCGTATACGATTGTGATAAATATTATCTTAATAAAAGTGTTAATTGGTTGAGAAATCCGTGTGTATTAATCTAATCTGAAAACAGTTTTCTTCTGTGGCTAACATTATCGAACGAATCTCTTAAAATCTCAGAGAATATGTTACGTTTTTCATGTTTGCAATTTGACTAAGGAATATACATAATAACTACAATAATTAATATGTCCCTAACCATGATATATTTAATGAAGAACTGATTTTGTTCATAATTTTATCTTTGATAATTAATTCCTTAAACGGGTTCAAGTCGGATTGTTGATCAGAATGCTGAAACTAATTGATTTTAACTTTAATAATTAGCCGTTTAAATTATTCGATAATTCTATTGGTTATTTTTTATGTATGTAATAATTCGAGAACACTATCACCTATTGTGAGGTGTTATAATTTCATTTGTTTTAAAGAGAGGAGGAAGGAATATTTGGCATTACTCAAATCTTTATTTTTGCCCTCTTAAGGAAACAAATCACTGGAAAACGTCTCAAAACTATAGCCTCTTTCTAAATCCACAAGTCAGTCCCCAGAGTGAACATCAAATCTAAGACGCAGGTGCAACCAGCTAACGAGTCCTAAATAAGATGAGACGCGAATTTTGGATTCCATTGCTAGTCACCATCCATCTTCGCTAAAAACATAATTTTTGCTGTTAATATTTGTTATCTAGAATCTGTCTCATTTTACCCTCTCATTAATGTTGTTTTAGGCAGTTTTCTGTTATAATCACTAAAGGAATAGTACAAACTGAGCCTGAATTTCCTATTACTAATATTACCATCAGTACTATCAATACTAGTATTAACATTACTTCCTTTTAATATAAATTATATTCTTTACGTTCAACTAATCAACAACAACAAAAAACTTTTGCTGAATAAATTTTAAAATGAACATTTATAAGTGTTTCTGATAATCCCTATTGTGATTATTACTACCCACTTTATTGTGGTTTTTCTTTAAAAATTGAATGAATCAATAATAAAAATATGCAAATTTCTTTTTCTTTTTATAAATATGATAGAGATGTAAGAGAGAGAAATGGATTAAGATATGGAATGAATAGAAAAGGGTTATTTAAAAGAAAACATAACCATTTTTAATATGTTGATGGTGATTGTTGGAATGATGCTGTTGTTATGTCGTGTGTTTATTTTTATCTTTTGACCAATTGCTTTTATCGTTTCCTCCCATTTGATCACATTTTCCCTATTAAATAGTTAACCAAAGAACTTGTATTCTACATTGTTTTGTTATCATGTCATTCTTGCCCATCTGCTCATTATTTTCGAATGAAAATTTAAATATACGGCATCATGTCATAATGATTATTACACGGTGATTATTATTATTATTATTCCATTTGTATCGTCTTGAAAAGTGATGAAAATGAATTAGGTCTTTGTATTCTTTAAAAAGTTTTGTATAAAATACAACAATATAAAATACACAAACAAATAAAACTTGTTCCTATATATTATTGGTAGTAGTATTATTATTAGTGAATGGGTGAATAGGACAATCATGTTTTCAGTTCAAATTGGAAATTGAGTGTAATATTTATTTCTAAAAATAAATACTTCATGATTGAGGTTGACAAACATGAATAGAC